TTCTCGACGTTTCAAGACTCCCCGAATGTAAAAATATTGGGGGTCTTTTTTTGGCCGATCGACGTACTTTCCCTCTGTTATGTATAACAGCCAGGAAAGTAATAGTCGGAAACTTTTAACAAATCGAATAACGATAAAGCTTTTCGGCTACAGAGTGTCAATTAATCTTCGAATTCTCCCATTGTGTATTATAACCAGAGTGTCGTAAAAATCGAAGAAATTTAGTAAAACCGTCTGCACAAAACAGACTTAGCAACGGTGTCTAAAGATTTAGATAAGTTTTTGTTTGCTTTATACAGACACTTGGCAGAAAATTCATCGAAAAAAGAAAACGTGCACCAGTGGAGTGCCGTGACATTTGACGACAGAGAAGCCGACTTCCAGGGGCAATCGTATGTATTTTTAATTATTAATTAAATGTATTTTTAATAGATTATTTATCCGACGTACTTAATAAATAAACGAGTTCAATATAATTAGATTCAATAGATTCCCTACGCCCTCTAAATGCCGATTCTCGCTTCGATAAAAACATACAACATCTATTAATTTAGATAAAAAATAGGCTCTATTAGCCGTAAGTATCTCGTTATAATTTTCAATATTTATTTTATATTATTTACTAACGTTAAATTCTATTGCGCTTCGATTTCCAAATCGCTTTAAATACGAAAGAATCGACGATTTTTCGCGTCTTTCGCCAGCTAAATCGTCGAAGCCATTCTTATTCCACACACTAATTTCATTCGAAAACAGTAGACGAGTCAACAAAACGATTTTTGCATTTCTACGCATTTACGGAGCCATTTCATAGCGAAAATGTCCAACAAATTTTTTATCGAAGCGTTTATATTTAACTTAGGCATTGGCCTTTCTCTTTTAATAACATTTTCCTTTTCATTATACGATCTCGAGCCAAAATTTTTTAAAAATAAAATTTCGATACCGCGATTACATTCCGAATCGCTAGCCACGATATAACGGCTAAAATTATAAATAAAATTATAAAAACTTACTCGGTAAAATAAAATGTGTGGTATACATACCCGGTACAAAATATTCTTCAATTGTTTGAATATACTTTTAAAGAAAATTATAATTAAATATAGCTTTGTAAAGAAACGTACATAAAAATAACATAAAATCTTCTTTACTTATTAAATCTTCACCACTTAGTCAAATAGCTCCCTACCAGTGTGAGGTGTGTGCACGCACGCAGCTGCCAAATCCCGAGGGTGCCGGTACCGGTCAATGACAAATGCCCGTTTATTCGCATCACTCGTATACCTCGAAGGAGGCGACGGGGTTCTTGTAAATTTTAAACGTTTCTCGCCATAGCCGTAAAAATCTAAATATGTTAAGCTTAATAGATTGTCTGTCATTTGTTTTCTGACTAACTCGTTTTAGGACCGGATGTCGCCCACGGAAATTTCCAAAATTTACAACTTTTCGGTCACTCTCGTCCAACTGGAAAAATTTCTGTCTTTATTACGTCTAATATTTCGAAGAAATCGGTCCCCCGTACTCGGCTAGTGATTGGTTCGGTTAGGCTTTTGTTAAAGTAAAATTTCGGCTCTTTCGTCGGGGTTTTGTTTACGTCCCCAATTCCCTAATCGCTTAATTATTTAACTACTTCTTAAATAGAAATAAGTCGAAACCGGTTACTTCGTACTCGAATATTTGTAGTCTCGGGGAAAAAGGTTGAAAGACAGATTTTTATGACAACGGATATATAAATCGTAAATTTAAGGAAAATAAATTCTAGAGCGTTTTCGGTACCTGGTGCATCTCTCTCATTCGTTAAATTTAGTCGTAAACGATGCTGTCGAAGTAATGGTTAATTTTTTAACATTATACAAGAATTGTACACGTGTTTTTCTACATCCCCTTAATTAAAGATGGGACGTACGAAATCGTAATATCACCGGTTTAACATTGAAATCCGTGAATAATATAAGATGGGAGAGCGGAATAAAAATATCAAATATTTTAACGGATTTTTTTAACTCCCGTCAACTATACAGAAAACTATGGTAAAAACGTACCAGTAAATTCTTATCGGTCGGGTTAAGTTATAAATCTACTCGCGATTGGGGTAATCGGGCCAGGGCGGACGGTTAACGGCCCGAAACCGGTCCCGGATAGAATCGGATGCGGTATACGCGTAGCGTCCACCCCAGGTCCTAGGCTTCCGCCGGCCGAACCGGGTGAGGTCGGTGCTCCGTAAAACGCGCGCGCGAATCTGGCTTTTTGGATGTCGATGATACGGCGCTTTCACTCCGCCACTAATATTCGAATATACGATAGCCATCTTATTTTTTTTTCACGCGTAGTATAGAAATTTGTAATAAGATACGTAATGCGGCTATAATAAAATATTGCGCGATTATTTTCGTATAATTAAAATTAATATGTATTTATTTTTTAGAAAATACGAGGGAAGCGGCGCATCCACCGCTTCTAATAACGGCACGCCACTGATGTGCACAGTTCAATATAAAGAGAGAAGATACAAGGTGAGATAGATAGACTGTTAGTAGATTTATATTACCTAAAAGTACACCTTCCAACTGAATAGAGATGAATAATCTGCCAAGTGTTTGAAAGAAGTCACTTTATTGTGTCCGTGTAAAGCAAAGTAAATTACAACACGGTTTCATCAGAATCAAAACGTTTTTGTTTCTCAATTTCTTTTTATATAACGATCGAGGAAGTTAAATATAAGTTCGTTAATCCGACACACTTACAAAACTAGAAATGTGCCGGATTACCGGACGTTTTTGTAATTTTTCTCGAAATTCCATGCGATCCGAATATGGCAGATATTGCTGCACGACTCACGCTGTATTCTCTCGATTTGTTTACACACGCTCTCAAATCAGTCTGAAGAATGAGTATAGGTCTACTATATTAAGAGTGATTAGAAAATCTTCAAAAATGTTAATTTACACGTTATTGCCCAAAATTAACATTATAATAATGTCCGCCAGTTCGGTGTATCAAACAAATTCCGTTTGGCAGAATGCCAGCAGGCAAGATCTAATGGTGTTTTTCAACCTTCTTGGCCAGCAGGCAAGATCTAATGCAGTGTTTTTCAACCTTCTTGGCCAGCAGGCAAGATCTAATGCAGTGTTTTTCAACCTTCTTGAATACGTGATCCCTTTACGAGTTAAAAACTTCTGGCAACCCCCAGGGCCATATTAAAACTATATGTGATTTTAAAAACTATGTATTTAATTTTCTGTTGAGACCTAAATATCGATCGAAAAACCAATTGTACTGTAAAATAAACAGGTACAGCCTTCTCACTGAAATTGTAGTTTTTTTTTTTATTGTAATGTAGGACCTACAAACACTTGTCTTTTTCTTTTACCCGCGACCCTCCGTGTAAGGCTTTGCGACCCCCATGCGGGTCGTAACCCACAGGTTGAAAACCACTGTTCTAACGTATTACGTTTGCACCTTTAAAATACATATTAGACCGACTCGATAAGCCTAATTATCGCGTATTTGAAACGTACTGTACTTTCCATTTACATATAAGTTATTTAAAATTTTAACTGTGTTCGAGTATATTTTACTCGGAAACTGCGAACATTGATGTACGCCATCCCTCGTTTAGCGGAAATCCTAGAGAATTTTGTTTAATTAATAGAACTAATAATAATTTATTTAAAAATTTAATTTCAAAAACCAGAATTAATAACGCAAATATATCGATTCCGTGAAATTTAATCCGTTATCGTAAGCAATGTTCCCTCTAATTTTTTTGTCGATGAGCGGAGCATATACTTCTCTGAGCAAAAAAAAATTTGCTGAGAAGATTCTGAGCATATATATATATAAAATATTTTTTTCTAAAAAAATTAAAATAATTAATTATAAAGTAGAGATTAAAATTCATTTTAAAACATACTTTTATACGAAATATTATCTTTTGTCAATGATTTAATGTATTTAATCGAAATATACGCAGCAATAATCATGTTGCAGACAGAGTGAGAAATAAGTAAACAACAATTCAAATAGGTGTGCATGCTCGCCTGCGCGGCACATAAATTTTCGTGCGTGGCAACAATTTGCGCAGCTTAGAGGGAACATTGATCGTAAGTAACACAATCGTTATCGTTTTGTAACACAAAGTTGACAAATGAACCATCACAACAATATCAAGTTGGCTGCGCTGTGTTTGCAGTCATTTACAATATTTCAATTTTTAAGTACAACAATTTGGATACTCTTTCAAATACTAACTAGTGTGCCAATTCCTCTTTTTGGGCTATTAAGGCTAAATAATTATAAGCAATTGGGCAGGAGGCCATCTGTTGTTAAATTTGTTATTTAATAAGAGATGTTTAGTGATTGTTCGAAATTATATTTTTCTTTCACTTCTGACTTTTGGATATTATATAACAAAAGTCAGAAGTGAAAGGAAAATATAATTTTTTCGTGTAATTTGCATTTACAGTATGTAAGTAGTGTTGCAACGAATAGTATATTCGGCCTCAGGCCGAATAGCCGAATATTTGGCTCGATTAACGCACGTACAAAAATTGGCGTGCAAACCGCATTATGGTAAGGACCCTGCTGTCTATTGGCCCACTGTCACTACGCTTCGCCAATTGTGTTAATTCTTGACAGTTCAGACAAGAGCATCATGGCAGTACGTGATAAGTGATGATATCAAATGTGGATAACAATGAAATGACATACACGTGTAAATAACGAAAGAAGAACAGAGAAGAACCGCAAAGTGAAAATGTGAAAATAAATATGAAATTGAGTCAATACACAGAAATTAACCTGATTTTTTTTGCACTTTTTGATATTTCAAGGTGCCCCCAGTCCAAAAATATAAAAATCTTTGAAAGGGTTATTTTTTTAACCGATGGCCTCTACCATATATAATTGCCAGGAAGTAAAAAGTGTTTGTTCCACACCCCATGGGCACACCAATTCAACTAATATACTCAAATAATTAAGTATATATAAACATAAAATACAATTTTTAAATCTTTATTTAATCGTCATTAAAATATACATTTGATCACAATCTATAAATTCTTTGTCACGTGAAGAGTATCTTTACAAACTGCAACCGCTTTTGGTAAGTTCCTTTTTTAGCCATATCATTGCCTTTTGAAGGTTTTTATCTTCTGCTTCTTTTATTAAAGATGTATATCTTTGCATTTTTGTAGTTTTGTCCACTAAGTATCGATAACTAATTGAAAATAAAAATAAATATTTTGTTTATAATTTAGGAAAGTATTAAAACTTCATAAGTTGCTAAATTATTCCAATAACTCAATATTACTGATAAGTATTCGTTCATCCATTAATAAATTATATGATTTTACACAAATTTAGTAAAATGTAGAAAAATTTAAAGCTTGTTGGTCATCACAAAAAACAAACAAGATTTTTTGTGATTCCAAGCCAAAAAAATTAGTCTTTTTCTGAGAAAAGAACTGTGTTTGACAAATAAGAAACTGTTACAGTAAAACCTTGCTAAGTTGAACTGTATTAACCCAAAAACGTCCCAGAACATACTAATTCCATACAGTATAATACAGTCGCATTAAATTGAAATTGTTGAACCTTTTTTCCCATGTACCTTTCTTCATTTCCTCCACCCCTTTCGTACCCTCTGCCTTGTCCGCAATCTTCGTTTTCTCATAATTCTCGGTGAATATAGACTGTGGCTGTCTGCCATCTTTGTTTTGTATAATTGTATATATAATAGGAATTCCTTTCTCCTTTCCTGTAATTCTTCTTCCTTCTGTCTTTAATTAACTCTTTCCTGTCACATAACAGAAGCTTTACTGTTTGTGGGCCCTGATTGGCTAGTGTACAAAGGGAAAGGAAGAGGTCCTGCCCGAAGGGGACCCGGGGAAACCAAGAGTGGATACGAGTCACTTTTCGGTTTGCCACTGACGAGATAAGAGGTCGGGCGGGGAGACCATGTTACAAGCTACGATGAATCGGGCCTAGGAAGATAGGAGAGAGAAGGTCAGTTTAGACCACGTGCGGATGGTGACTTGGAACTAAGTAAGCGAGTCTTTCCATACAAGCTCAAGGACCTGCCTTGGCATATATTTAATAGTAACTGGTTGATATTACCATGGATGTGAACAGATCGGATATGCACCGTCCATGAAGTGACCATAGTTGACATTACCCCAGGATTGGAATCCCCTGATCTAAGCTACCGCTAGACCATCCAACCATCCTTCATCCTTTCTTTTCTCTTTCTAGTTGTAAGTAGTAATAGTATTAGGTTTAAGTTGAATTGTATATAAATCAATTGTCGCGGGAAGTTTGAGCGAGAGCGGGGACTTGTACATATATATACTTTTGTTCTCTGTAATGGGCAGTATGACCTCTGTTCTCTCATTTTGATCAATAAGATGCGATTGACTGTTATTTGCATTGTCTCCTCGTCACGTGTTTCTCATCCTTTCACAGAAAATTACGGTAAACAATCACTATGAATCCATGCCGTTACAACCTCGTGGCAACATTCTTTTACTGATACTTATTGTATCAGTAAAAACATACCTTATAGTGCTGAACTTGGAAAAATTAACCAAAGGAAATATTTTGTAAACTTTAAATGTATCCTCCTTCTTTTTGAGTCCCTTTTTACAGCGGAGTTGACCTTTATTTGGAGACTTCTCACATGCCTGAGCATACAATGTACCCTCTGGTGATGGCACAAACAATTATAAAAATTATTGCTGGCACAATAAAATTTTTATTAAATGTATGATATAGCTGCTCTTTCTGATTGGGACACAAGTGGAGTGCTTGATAATGCACTCAACAGCACCATAAACTTTTTACAATTTTGTAATCATATTGTGAACAGATTCTTGAGAAACTTGATAATGGGAAATTTATGGCCACTGAAAAATTTGACAAAATCAGTTATTAAACTTGTTAACTTGATGTTGGGATTTTCCCAATATACTTAACATGGTTTGTTTTACTATATATCATTATTCATTTTAATTATATCAAAATGCTTTCATCTCTGTAGATCATTTTTTTTACATTGGGAATCGTCATTTTCCCTTTCGGGGATCAGTCTTCCCTGCACCGCTCATGCATAACGGGGCTTTAGTTACTTTATTCTCAAAGTCCATACAGTGGTGCCTCGAATAACGGACGCTGCGAACAACGGACTTTCTGTTTGGCCGTTATGTGACTCGAGCAACAAACTGGCTGCGAACAACGGACTTTCTGTTTGGCCGTTATGTGACTCGAGCAACAAACTGGCTGCGAACAAGTGCAAATGATGTTTCCACTCTTTTGTCATTGCCAATGACAATCTGCTATTTTTATAATATATTAGTATTATTAGAATATATTATTAGTATGTCTGAAGTACAGAGCTCCCGCTGGGATTCGGCTTGCTCCCTAGTTTATTACGTACATCACCTCAGTGCAGGGTATTTACATTTATTCAAGTGTTGTGCAAATCCTGGCTTATAAAAAAACAGAAAGGTGATTTCAATTGAAACAAAGCAAGACATCATGAGAGGAGTGAAAGTTGATAAAAACTTCCTTGTCAAATGGGGAGAGGTTCAGGAGTTTACCAACACTCATTATCCAAACAGAGCTGAGGCCAACAGGATCAATTATCTCTACAATGACACCCTTGCTCGTTATTTCTGACAGGTGTTGAAGAAGAGAGAGAAACAGACCACCTTGGATATGTTTTTCAAGCCAGCTGCCAAAAAATAAGAGGAGATGACCCTTCAAGCTCCAGTAGCCTCTCCTGAATCTGACTCCGATTTAAAAACAATAAAAAGAGACCTGCTGCAATGTGTAAAAAGTCTGTATCTGTATGAATGTGTGAAGAAAGTGTTCCTCCACCTCCTCCTCACATCTGACTACCCAGCATAATTGGTGACTGTTCCATTTTTATTTTTTTTATGGTACAGTATGGTTATTTTATGCTGCGGAACGAATTATATGTTTTAACATGTATTTCTATGGAAAAATGTGTTTCGTATAACGGACTTTTCACTTAACGGACGTGCACCTGGAACGGATTAAGTACGTTATACAAGACACCACTGTACTTCATAATTCAAGTTACAATGTTAATATAAAAGATAGAAATTACAAACTACTGAGCTACTTGCTCAGGAAGTTGTTTTACAAATGAATATGAGCTACTTTGCTCTTTAATATCTTTCTTAGAAAATCAATGAGTTGATTATATGTTTTTTCCCTTCTGTTTAAATGATAAACCCCACAGGGTCATTGCATCCCTTCCTCTTTTGCAATAAATTCCAAGTAATGCCTTTCCAACTGCCATTGTATGCATTTGTACACAAGATGGTTGAGGTTCTCTATCTCCTCTCCATATACACACGTATTCTCACAGTTCAGGTTAAATCTTCTATATTCTCCTAGGTTGTCATGCCCAGAGAGACATATCATCGCTTCCCTCTTTCTTCTGAACCATTTCAGATGGGAGAGTCTTTCCTCTACATTTGGAAGGAATTCGAAGGTCTTGCAGCCTTTCGTGCTATTTGTCCACATATCTTGCCACTTTTCTATTGTTTGAGCCCTAAGTGCCTTCTTTCCCCAACATTTCGGGATAGTGTGAAACATCTTATCATTCCTGTTTGTCACCTATTTAGCCAATTGATCGGCTCTTTCATTTCCTATAATACCACTGCGTGCTCTGACCCATTTGAATTGAATTTTCTCAATCAAACCATTTTCCCTTAACTTAGTCTGTATCCTGAACACTGGATCTTCTATCAGTAAGGGCCTGTAGAGCACTCTGACTGTCCGTATTAATACAGACTCTTTTCCTTTGGTTTTCTATGCACTATTCCACTGCCTTATCAATGGCCAATAGCTCAGCCTGATGATTGGAGCAATTCGACTCCAATGTAAACTTGTCATTACAAATTTCTTCATTGCATTTGTAAACAACATAACCGGCCCCGGTCCCAGATTCTGACCTGGAGCTGTCTGTGTATATATCTGCCTTAATTGGGTTATCAGCCATTACATTAACACCACCACTCTTGGCTGGATGTGGCAGATTCTTTACAGAAATATATCGTTCAAAATTACTTAGATCTATAGGTAGATCTATCATGTTATTTTCTCCATCTTTCTTTAGCCAATACTTCTTGGCCCTTTCCTCAATCAGTAGTTCAATAGGTCCCTTGTCTGCTAGAACCATTAGCACCTCGGTAGAAGTAGTTCTAAAGCATCTTATCAGCCTTAGAAGTGCTGTCCTTTGTGCCTGCCAAAGACACATCTTTTGAATAGTACTGTTGGCCTTTCCACTCCAGGTTGATGTTGCATAGGTCATAATCGGTATAAATGTACTGTCATATATCGCTTTCATAGCTTCTGTTTTTTAGCCCCCAGGTGCCATTGGCAACCTGGGCTAACTTATTGAATATAATATTGCTTTTCGTCTTAATTGTTTTATATGCTCATTCCAGCCTTATTGTTTTATATGCTCATTCCATTCAGTAATAAAACACATGAAACACCTGGGCGTAACCCTCAGGCATTTCATGTTTTTTACTACTTCAATCTTTTCACTTCCCATCTTCATGATTGGAGGACTTTTCTGTAGGACCAATGAAAAGTTCTTAGCAAATATCATTGCTTTGGTTTTTTCGGATTGAAGAGCAGTTTGTTCTCTTTTCCCCACTGGTCAATATCTTTCAGTAGTCATCTGCATTCTATCTCAGTGTGCCTATGAGAACGTCCTGGGCAACCACCATGACATCGTCGGCATACGCCATACATCTAATCCCTCTCCTTAGTATTTTATGTATAACGATGTCAAATTGGATTATCCAAAAACTTGGCCCGGACTTCGAGCTCTGCAGGCATCCTCTTTCCAGAGTCTTTTCAACATTGATGTAATTTGAAATATACCTTGCCTTTCTCTCATTAAAATAGTCCTTCACTAGTTCGTACAAGTTCCTTGGACAATGATTTATCTTTAATCGATGTAGAATAATCTGCCACCATGCATTATCAAAAGCTCCTTTAATTAATTAATGTCCAAGCTTATAGCCATAGCATAATTGGCCTCCTGTAGCACTTCTCTTATGTCCTGTATCACTTTGTTTATTGCATAGTGGCTCGTTGAGCTCTAAAGCCAAATTGGGCCTCATTTATCTTATTGTTGTGTTTCCAATGCCATGTTATCGTTTTAATTATTAGGTCGTCAAGGACCTTGCCCATTATAGGCAAAAGACTGATTGATCTAAAGCTACCAGGGTCTGTAATATCCTTTTTACCTGGTTTTGGGATAATTACAACTCTTGCCCTCTTCCATCTTTTTGGGAATACACCATGCCTTAGATATGTATTATAAATCACAAGGAGACCCTCTGTACATGCCTCACAAATTGCCTTAACTATTTGAATGATGATGCTGTCATCGCCAGGGGCTCTATTTTCCTTTATATTATTCATACATTCTTGAATTTCTTCAGTTGTGAAAGGAGGGTCGTCCCTCTCTATATACCTCTTGTCTGATTTATCTATGTCCATCTTGATGGACATTTCTGCTATCCTCTGGAAAGAATTGTTCCAGAAGAAAATATATTGTTTGTTCAATTGAATTGGTATACCCTCTAGGGGTCTTAACTGAAGTAGTAATAGTCCTTGTCTTTAACTTTCCTGTGTTTAACTTGAAAATAAAATTCCACAGATTGCTAGAATTTTCTTTGCAATAAATAGCTTCTCCATGATTTCAGCTTATACTCCTTGATCTTCTGCTTATAGTGCTTCTCAAACTGAAGATATGCACTCCTCCTCCTCCTTAGTTTGTTATTATTCCTCCTTATGAAGGTTAGATCCTTGTTCTGCCAAGGAACTAAATGCCTTCCCTGTCCCCTTGATGGAATACAATCCTCACAGATTTTGTTTATCTTTTGTATTACATTGTCCATTTGATCCTTTACCTCCTCCCTTTCCAGACAATTCCTCTCAAGCAATTCACTAAGTTCTCTTGTATACCGGCCGAAAACCTCGCCCAGTTTGTCCTATTAATATCGAATCTCCTTCCTTCTATTCTTTCACTAATCTTTGGGATTTGTATTTTAAATGAAATCAGTGAGTGGTCGCTAAGGCAGCTCTCCGTCCTTACTTCCCAATCATTTATCCATGCAAGACCATGGTTATTGCAAACCATAAGGTCGATCCAGCTTTGTCCTCTTGGTCCAACAAATGTTGGTGGAGACAAGGGATCATTCATATGTGCAGTTCATGCTCTGAAAAGAATTCTATCAATTCATCTGCCTCTGAATCCTGCAATAAACCTCCCCATACTGGGGAATGAACATTGAAATCTCCACCTAAGATAATGGCCTGTCCTGAGAATTTTTCTATTCTGTATGTTTTCATACATTTCAGTTATCTTGTCTTCGAACGGGCGGTAAAAACTTGTTATAATGATCCTTTGACCATATTCTATCATCTCACAACACTCAAAATATTGATTGCTTATGTCCTTATGAAATAGGATATCTACATTATTGTTAGAGACAACTACTGCGCCAATGGCCGTCCTTCATTGGCCTGGTAACCTCCTACTAAGAGAAGCCACTTTGCCATTCACCAAATATGGTTCCTGTATTAGTGCTATGTCTGCTCTCTCCAACCATTTATTCAACTCTGAGTTGGCTGCTACAGCCTTTTGAAGATTCACTTGCACTACTGTAATCTCTTCTAGGTTCTCAATTTCTGTCATCTCCATAATCTGTTCTACTTATAGTTATTGTTTTTATCCTTTAGACTATAGGGCATTTTCTGTCCAGGGCATTGTGCCTTGTATCTGTTTGTTTTTCATGTTTACAATTGGTGAACAACTTTATTGTGTTTTTATTCTGTGTTTTTTATATCTGTGCCCCTGGCTGCATTGACTGCAGACTGGGGTCTCTTGCGTACAATCTTAAGCAAAATGGCCCATTTTGCAGCAATGAAAACTTTGCACAATCAGAACAGTCTTCCATAGGGCATCTTACCCATTGAACATTTAGCTTTCTGATTTTGAGCAGTCTATTTTGTGTACTGGGCTTTACATCCACCAACCAACTGGTAGTCAGTCTGGTCCTGTTTCCCAGGGCAAACCATATAGTAAAGTACTGAGTAAATTTTTCCAGCTCTTTATAAGAATCATATATATATCCTCATTTTGTTCAAAGACATACTTAGGGATATATGTTTTCTCTATTTCCTTTGGTACAGCATGGATGATCACTTTTCAGTAATCTCTTTTTTGGTTCCCTGGCTGACATGCCTGTAATCTCCTCTACTGCTTTCTTCAGCTTGATTTTGCCTTATTTTCTATCTAACTCAATTGCCACTGTGCCATTTCTTAACTTCCTCAGTCCTTTAACTCAAATCTTAAGAACATGAGGTTTAATATTTTCCTTTATTATCCTCTTTGTCCATTCTGCATCTCCATCTTCTGCTTCTGTAGGTTGCACTATAACTACTTCTCTATGTTCGACCATCTTGTTGACTAGTGGCACACTTGCAGCCACCTGAGCAAATGTTTTTCCTCTTCTTGGCCTTTTATCTCATCAAGCTTTTCCTTTATGCTGGAAACCATCTTCTGTAAATCATCCCTCTCAGACAATATTTCAATAATTTTTGTAACCTTTCCCATGATTTAGGTGATGCGATCTCTAGATCCTATCTTTGATATCTTGTTTGCCATCAGATACTGTTGAAGTTCCTCTTAAACTTGTTTGGCAGCGATGACTCTTGCATCCTGCCCATCTCCTTGCTGACTTACAAGGCTAGGAAATCCATCTTCTTGCTCCAACGTGAGATCTTCCTCTTCTTCTCCAGTCTGGGAAAGCACAACTTGTGCCCCCATTTGTGGTGGCCTGAAGGCCATACCACTAAACTAGCCTTGAAAAAGGTTTATTAAAGAAAATGCAACCTGCCTTTAGTTTCCCTTTTCAGGTACTCACAGGCCTCACCACTAGAAGATAAACAGTCACTTTCCCAAAGCACACGAGTAAAAAGCAGTGAAACGTAGAGCAAAGCACTCAAATTCGCCAAAAAATGCACTCGTATAGCTCACAATTGGGACTGAGGCCTCTCTGTAGATCAATTTTCAGATAAAAACACCTGTAAAAATAGAACAGAAAGGTTTCTGCCAGCCCAACAAATCCAAATGCAGTTGCCAATTGACCACACCAAGGGTAACCCTATACAGTTAAGTAAATTGTTTATTTGTTTTCATTGACTCAAATGTATTGGGTATGCATATTAATGTTGTTGGATAAATGGTACAGTAATTGGCCATTTCAAATTTAAATCTGTTTATTAGAGATCTATAAAAGCTATTCTGGAAATATTGTATGGCAGTATTAATACAAGATTCTGCAAGTTTTTCTGTCATTGCATGTAGCCAATAACTAAGCAATTTTGCATTAAATGAATGGCATTTGTAATTTATAGATTTTGGCAGAAAGACCATAAAAAATTAATTCATCAATAAATACAGGGTGTCCCAAAATTCTCCATACAGTGACACAAATTAAGCCCCCTGGTAGTCATTGGTTCGTGCCTGACCAATGGGCTAGCCACCATGAAGTGTTCTGGGTTTTCTTCATGTGTCTAACACCTAAACATAATCCAGTTTCAACTTAGGAAGTCCTGCTAGAAGTTATCCCCAGATCATCCACATGTTCCGTTGCCTTACTCTGTCAATCCACTGACACAAATCTTAATGCTGACAGTTTAATGTTTTGTGAATAAAGTTACATTTCACCTTTGTATGTATGGAAACTTTCAGGACACCCTGTATAATAGTTCCCAATTTAGTCTTTCTGCTAAGTCAGAATTTTTAAAATAATTTCTTTAAGTGGCCAAAAACTGTACTGTTTACCTTACATAAGTGCAAGTGCTTCAAGTGAAGAGAAAGCTTTAGAGAAAAATTAAAAATATACTAAATATTTTGTTAATATTTAGGATATTTTTAATGCTTCAATAATGCAGTTTCTTATTTGTTCATAGATCTGTAATGATTTTATCAAATTCAAATACATGCTATAATACTTGATTATATATTATTCTATTACTTAAGTATTATTTTACCTAAGTTCTTTAGTAATTTTGTTTTCATATCTTGCTCCATCTCTTCCCATTATTAGATACTCGTGTTCGATGAATAAATGGGATTTCTTGCAAGCGTCTCTCATCATGAGTTCTCTGTGAGAACCTTCTATATCTTCTTTTGGTTCAATTCCTTTTAAAAAAGTAATTTTTGGTTGAGATGAATAATTTAAATTTATACATACTAGTAAATCAATTTCTTATATAAAATGCCTGAATTTTAGATTCAAAGTAACTTTGTAAAACAAATTGGTTCAATTATTATAAAATTTTCTATTTTTTTACAATTGAATAAAGCNACATTGGACTGTATCATCATAGGAACACTGCATCTCGTCTGGACAACAGTATTGTGTCAGATTTGTTTTTAAGAAACAAAGGAGATCTCCTGTTTTGTGTAAGATGCTTTTTGTATATTAATAAATGAATGTTAATTGTAAATGGAGTTGCAGTTAACACCCGGAGTGCCTCTGTGTCTAATGCCACCACCCACACATGCTGTTCACACCTTCTCACCATCCTGAACAATGTCTCCTCCTAAATTAAAGGAGTGTTGATTTCAACTCTAGGATATTGGGTCCGTGATAAACTCTTCACGGGAGTCCTCCACAGATACACACAAAAAAAAAAAAACAGATATTCAAACACTTCCAGTGAGCACAGATGAATGTGACAGGAAGTGTCAATTTTAAATATTTCAAATTTCAGTATTTTCAAGCCATATTGGTTTATCTTCAGGTTTATTTAATATTCTAAAACAATTTGAGAAAAAATATTCATTGGAGTATTTGAGACATTGAGTATTTTCTTAATGAAAAATTCACATGAATCTGGTGTTACAATCTTAAACTTAGGTACTGTTTATTGAAAGGTAAAATAAATGAATATATTAACATACACCTTTCACACTTTTTCCAGCAACTCTTCTATTTATTAAAAGAAATGTTTTCAGTCTTCTTTAATGGACTTTTAAACACCTAAATGGAAAGTTCATAACAATTTCCATGAGCATTTTATTATTTGAAATGTGTTACAATGATGTAAACAAAATAAATTTAATGTGTTTGTTTTCAAATTTTGCATTTCAAATACTAAAATGCTCTTGGAAAGTGTTACAAATTTTTAGTTTAAATATTTGAAGTTTTTATCAGTTAAAACATAAGGTTAGGTCCTTAAAGAGGAACAAAAACATTTGTTTTAATAAATAGAAGAGTTGCTGGAACTGTGAAAGGTGTATTTTAATACAGACTTGTTTTAGCTTTATTTTTGTATTGAATTAAATGATGATATTTATATAAAACTTTCTATTGCATTGATATATTTTCCTACGATTTCTTAAAAGTATTATTTAGAGATTTTGTATAAGAGACAAGTAATTCTTCATCAAACAAGATATTGCTGTTTATGTAAAGAGATATATTAAAATAAATCAGTACCTAATATAAAAATGTAAATAATGAGTTGATTATGAAATATAGTATTTAATTAGACAATTACCTGCTTTCAAGACTGCAGAAACTACAAAATCAATATATAGAAATCCATTTTCTGCTCGTAATTTATTAATTTTTCCCAACCACACTAAAAGAAAAGAAAGTTATAAAATTAATATCTTTTACAAAATATATTCATAATTGAAATGTTTTATTTAAATTTATCAAATCAGAATTATGCATAAAATATTATTGAGGAAAACCTTTGTATGACATTATCCTTATTGTGTTGTAAGTGTCAATTATTAAATTTAGCATGAGATGGCACCTAATGCCTAACTCTAATACCAAATTATCTTAAATTATTATTATAGCCACTTCTAGCCCGTTAATTCAGCTTTGGTTGCTTTAGTGTTTATCGGGTTAGCTGATGTTTGTTTACATGCACATCTGTACTTTTGAAATCTATAAGACTAATAACATATCCATAATAGTAGCACGAGCAGTTATGGGTAATTTAGGTATATAAGCACCAATGGTTTTAATCTTATCTGTCACTGTGAGAAAGTCACACATTCCGTGACTTTCCACATGTGACTGGGAAAAGATTTTAGTTACATGTCTGTAATAATTAAGTGAGGAACTGAACATGTTTGATTTGTATAATACAGTTTCATCATGTAAAAAATTGTTTTGGAACAAAATTCCAGATTGTAGCCTCATGATAGAATTAGATAGAGTCAAACTGAAAAGAATAGTGGCAAATTTATTACTTGGAATAACTGTAAGGTTAAAATTGTGAATTGAGCAATTCAAATAAGTAATCAGTAATTTTATTGGTGAGATGTTGATGCAGCATATTGAAAACACAATGTAGGAATAGTGTTCAAAAGCATAATATGTTGAATTACCTAATAAACAACACTAGTACTGGCAAGGAGTCAATGAGCTTTGAAAAGGTGTACATAAACTGAAAATAAATGGTTGTTTCATTGCATTTTATACTAAGCATTTGATGTTCTTTGGAGTCACGAAACAAAAGTGGTGATGCAGGATTGGAATTTCAAGAAGTTAAGGTGGTGTCAAACCCTTCTTGCCTTGTCCAACACCTCTCTGCCCACACTTAGGGGATCATCCTCTAATATTCCTTGTATCCCTATATAGTGAGATATGTGAGGTCTCGACCAGAGGCCAAAACCTTGACCAAAATCTGTGTTAAAGGAAGAGTTGTTTAGAGTAAAATGCATTGGACAAATAAAATATCGTAAGAGAACAAATCTGGGATTCAACTATTTTTCCAATGATCGTGAAAACAGGAAAATATTATGTATAATAAAACCAATTTTCACATGGGCATGGATGGCTGGGGTAAAAATGTTTAACTGAATTATGGGCAGACTTGCAAAAAAATTCAATATACATATACTGCAGGTGTCTGATCTCTGAATACTGCCTTGACTGGCCCCAGCAACAACTAGGGACCAATTGGAGAGATAGAAGATGGAGATTGCGACCAACAAGGGCACCGATCAAAGATCCAAAGCCTTTAAGAGGCTCAAATTTAAGGACAAGGAGTCTTTTCCCTTTGGTGGTTTAGTCCCCAGGGATTACCAACTTTTCACCCACTTCACACAGACCAGAGATTTTCCCACAAAGTTAACTGCAAGGGATTCCTGAAGATGGAGCAATTCTCTGGCTGGGACTGAGAACGCTTATCCTGGATACAAGAACCGACAACTGTGTGCTTAGCATCCTTCGCTAGTGGACAGACTGTTTGGAACTCTGATTCACCGACAAGGAGCGATGAACATTGGACTGTATCATCATAGGAACACTGCATCTCGTCTGGACAACAGTATTGTGTCAGATTTGTTTTTAAGAAACAAAGGAGATCTCCTGTTTTGTGTAAGATGCTTTTTGTATATTAATAAATGAATGTTAATTGTAAATGGAGTTGCAGTTAACACCCGGAGTGCCTCTGTGTCTAATGCCACCACCCACACATGCTGTTCACACCTTCTCACCATCCTGAACAATGTCTCCTCCTAAATTAAAGGAGTGTTGATTTCAACTCTAGGATATTGGGTCCGTGATAAACTCTTCACGGGAGTCCTCCACAGATACACACAAAAAAAAAAAACAGATATTCAAACACTTCCAGTGAGCACAGATGAATGTGACAGGAAGTGTCATAAAATGTGCAATTATGTGAAAATTAAATTCAATCTGTTATTTATTAAAAATTTTGACATATGTATATTTATAGTATTAAATGGATGCAATACCATATAGTCATATACCAAAGTATGACCAAGATCAGGAAATCATTTGGCAACTGACTTGAAGAGTAGCCCAGTAAGAACAAAAATGTTTTTACATGTATGTAATAACATGTCTGTTTTATTTTAAAAAACAGTTTAAAGATAATATTCTGGTCTTATAATAAATTAGTTGAAGATTGGTTGAAGCATATATGATTGTTTTTATTTCAATGTCTTTATATAGAACAGTGAAAAATAATTAATAGTTTTAAAATGGAAAGAAATAATGCAAATGAAAAAATAAAACAGATATTAAATAATGGAATAAATAGTTTCAACGGCTGTTCTGTAAAAAAAAGTGCCTACCAATTCTTGGTGGGCACTTTCCTTTACAGAAACTTGAAATGTCAGTGGTAATTTCATACATCTAATGAACAATAATCTGTTGCATAGTTTACAAGTAGTGAATTTTTAAAATGTTCCATAGACTTATTCATAACCCTATATATATATATATATATATCATAATCAGCTACCTCTTTGCCAATTCCATCAGTTATTTTGGATAAAAACAGATTAACAAAATAAATCATCATATTTTACCATAATCGTGTTCTTCACAGGCCATCCATAATAAACGCTGCCTTTGTTTTGAAGAACCAATTAATTCAGAAACTTCAGTAAATGGTTTCTGCAGTGGACATCCTCCTAAAGTATAAAATTATTTATAATAAAAATATGCTTTAACTTTCTTATTATAGTATTATAAATATTAATAAATCAAAGAAAAATATAAAAGATAATACCTTCTGCACATTCACAAACAGAATCTTCACAAATAGTTCTCAACAATGGGCTGTTAGAATCGGGACTGTAGAATTTTGTGCAAGAATCATCTGAGAAATAAAAAAACAGATTTTCCATTTTCATATTAAAAGTATTTGGCTTAGAATATACTTGCATTAAAATGTTACATCTTTTATTTTTAAATGAAAAAATATCATCTAAAAAGACTAATAAATAACAAAAATATTGAAGTAAGAAACTTGCAATATGGTAGGTAGTAACTGACAGTCATAATTATAAATATGTGATATATTGCAAATATACTGAATGAATTTTGAATTTTAAGTAATAAGGATAAATTTTTGTTACAGCAAGAAGTAGTTGCACATTTTGTACAACTGATAAAAAAAAAAATTTATTATAAAATATACTGTAAATTGTATTTTATGTATCAATAGTTACTCTTGTTGGAATTTGACAAATCCATTAAAGAAAGATTATAAACTGTTTTTCTAACAAAAGGAATAAAATCTTTATATCATTAAAATAATTCAAAAGTTCTAATTGGAATTTAATTCTATTTCCTTGATATTTATTGATATTTACAAAAAGTGTGAAACTTAAATATAATTTTGACAGATTTTCATTAAAATATTAATACAAATAAGATACAAATTATGATAAATTTGAAGATATTTTTTATGCAGCTAAGAATAAAATGACTTTAAATGGTAAACTAGAAGAAAAGGTTCTATTCTTCAACATTTGTTTTTAATGGTTTTATACCTCACATTGGTCGAAACCAAATACAGTACAGTAATACCTCAACTTACACGATTTTCAAATCTCGTCGATTTGTCTTTTATTTGAGCGCCATGCAACTCTTGATTACTCCCCTCCCCACTATTGTTCAGCTTACATGTTCGGATGTGTCGCGCGAAATTGACACATAAATAACACAAAATAAATTGTAGCTATTTCTGTGTTTGTTATATCTACGGAGACTTGAGAGACTCTATGTGGTGATTTTTTTTATAACCATGAACAAATCAAAAGACGAGATAAGATTAATGAAAACATTTATTTACCTTACTTACATCCAATTTGGATTTTACACAAATTGCAAAATTATACTCTGACTTACACAAATTCAACTTACACGGTTATTGCTCGGTCCCACCTATCGCGTAAGTTCAGGGTATTACTGTGTTAGCTTTTTCATATAAGTCTTTCAACAGCAATGTTATAGCGATACACCAACCAAAGCCAAATTATTGAGCTAGAAATGGCTATAATAATAAATAATTTTATAAGATGATGATGTTTGTTTATAGTAATGTTAGTTGCAATTTTTAATAGAATATATCATCCCAAGAGTTAATTATTGAAGAAATATTTGCAATGATAGCTCAAAACTGTTAACTGTGACATAATTTTAGTAATCTTATTATTTGAATTTGTACTGATTGTATGGGTTTTTATATAATAATTTATTTGTCTGGATAATCTAATTTAATTACAATAAACTAGAATTTAACAATATCTCAGAGTTTACATTGCATGAATTTGTCTTAATTTGACTGATTTAAAGATAAGCTTATTTTGAATGATATCCAACCTGTTTGCTTAAATCAAAGAGGCATAGTAGGACAGAGTTTATAACAACAACATTGAAAAACAGTTTACATTTAGATTGTAGCACAAAATAAATTAAATTAATTATATATCTTGATAATGTTCTGTTTAATTACTAAGAGTAGGAAATAAATGAACACCTAATTATTTTACTTGAGATTTTATCAAAAGGTTGTAGTCATTAAGATAAAAGGAAAATTGTTTTTTGCATGGTCTATCCCCATTTCTAAATATGACAGGAAGCTTAAGTGTTAATCCTTAAAAATAACATCTTAAACATTATTTTTGAATATTATGCATTTTAAATTTTTAGTCTCCTTTTTACAAACAACTACTTCACTAAAATATCATACTTAGTAGCTCTTGGGAATCAAAACAATTGTTTTGATTTGTAAACGTTTCGGAAAGATAAAGAACAAATTTAAAAATATAATTTTAAATTTTTTATTTTTTGTGCTAATCAGAAAAACATATTAATCAAATTAAAGTTTTTGTAAACTTAAATTAAAAATTAATGAAGCAGAGTTTTAAGTAATTAGTTTTATATAAATTTTTTGATTTCTGAAAGTTACTAAGAGTGATTATTTGAGCAAGTTAATAAATATATTTCTTGAATAAATTCAAGTACATTTTTATTAAAATGCTTTCAAAATTATGTTGTAATATGGATTTTTCAATATATAATCATTTTTGAACTTAATTGATTCATACAACTCCATTTTTATTTAAAATTAGGTTAGAAAGTGAGGATTAACTTAATGTTTTATTTAAGCAGATCCTCATCTCACTCTTAAAACATATTTAAATCTCACATCTTACTTGTTAAATAAAACGTTTAAGAATGAGAATTAGCTTCAATTCAATCAAAATTTAAAGCTAGAATTTTGAATTCCAAAATGCTTCTCCAAGATCATATCCTTAACGAAAAACTTTATTTTAAAAGTCTGTAAAAATTATCTAATTGAAAATATGTTGCATTTGTATCAAGCTTATGTTTCCAGTACATAAAATAATCACTATTTTCATTATATTTCTTTTAACAATCTACTTTATTAAAGATTTTTCATATATATATATATAGTAAATAGTACATTCCATATTGACTTACCTTAGTAAACATGGGTTTCTGAGATATTAACAATTTTGTGTTTGTATTGTGACTGACTAGTATCAATAGTATTGCGGCTTATATGTGTTGCATGTGATGTGGAAAAAGATGATAATTTTGCCAAATCTTTTACCTTGATATTTACAGATGTTCCAAATGTCCTCTTCCAATTCCATGTATGCTTCACATCATCATTATCTTGTCTCTCATTCTCTCAAATATTTCAAGTCTTTTGTCAGATTATTTATTTCAGAATTAGATCAAAAAGTTGATCACATTTACTAAAATTTTTACTCAGTATAATGTTTACTACCTACCATATAAACACTGAATATTTTTTTTAATACCCTGTATATATTATTAAATTTTGATATATAGCCTACTTGATTACATTACTTAACTGTCTAAATAAAAACAAAATGTTATTTATTCACCATTATTATAATAATCATAAACCTTGATGACACTGGCTTGTACATTTCCAACAATGTAATCTCTTCTAATACGGAATTTCAAGCATATTGGAATGCTGTGAGACACCTATAGTGGAAATTATCAAAATAATCGATATTAATATATTTGCTATTTATAAAAAACCAGATTGTAAAATGTTAATTTTAAAATACATACATGATGCAGATAAAATATTATCCCTCGTCCAGCAATTTCATATCTGTCTACAGGATTGCTGGTATCGTTGACTAACTAAAAAGTTCATTGGACTATTTTATTAAATATTCACTTGTTAAAAATCTTAAAAATTACTTGCAATTGTTGCATTTTAGTCTGAATTTCTTTTTTATATAAACATAGATATGTAAATTAAGTATCTTAAGACATTTCAAATTTTTATCATCATCATTTAAATTCATTTAAATATTTATAAATTATGTTAGATATTTTCATAACATAGAATAAGAATTAAATAAACTGTATTTGATCACATTGCTGGTCATCTAAACATTTCAACATAGCATCTTTCCAGATAATACATTGACTTAAATTCAAATCATTTCAAATTTATTAGTCTGATTGATTATATTTAGTACTTGGTTACAAAACAGTGTAAGTGCTTATACTGATATATCCAAATGTAATATTAAAATTCAACACTTTTTTAGTATAAAGTGTTAAATCTAAAATAAAATTTAAACATGCTTTCTATTTTAGTTTATTACGTTATAAAACAGCTGTTTGATTCTTATTAAATCTATTTATCTAAAACTTAAGATTTAAATATTTAGTATAAACACAGAGAAAATAGAAATAGTCTGAATTAACCAACTATTCATATATGTTGATGCAAAAATCAAAATTTTATAAATAGTTTTTGAAATATGATAATATTTTATTATCACATTTCAAAAACTGTTTTCAGTAAATTGGGAAAAACAAAAATGAAAAAAAGAAAAATTACCAAATACAGTCATGTTTACAGAAGAGCTGATAAGTCACACATTAAATTCTCTATAGTTATCAATTGCTGGAATAGAAAAATTTTCAGACTTTTTCAAATAAAGCATTGTTGTAATAAGAGTAAACAATTCAGAGTGTAGTGATCCGTCACCTAAGTTAATTAATCTATGTTTTCTTTGCCTTATGAATGTTAAGTTTTTTTTGTATGTGAAATTATTTGCGCCGGTTTCCATTTTGTGCTTGGACACCACCTTTTTTGTGTTAACCTCACGGGACTTGCTGATTGGTTGTGTGATTCATGACGTCGAAAAAGGTATAAATGGAGGTGCTTCACCTTAGAAAGGATCTTTTTGCTTTACGGACTTGGTTAGTGATGCACACCTCATGTAGATGACGTAAGTTAAGTAGTTTGAAGAGAGAGAAAGGAGACAGTTTGGAGGGGAAAAAACAATCCATTCTCATCCAAAGCTAGGATTAAGACATTGATGTGAATTGCATACACATTCTTTTATAAATAACAAACAGTCTTACACGTGTCCTTTGTTTTGTTTTTTGTTTATACGATCCCACAGAGAGGTGGTAGAATAGAGCTTAGATTTATATGTGTATTACTTAGATATTTATATGTTAGACTGTATTAAGCCTGTATAATGTATATAGATATAAGTATATATTGTCTGTAGATAAATAAGCCTGTAAGACCCAGAATTAAATCAATGTTTTTACCTCACCTGTATGAGAAAAGTGTAAAGTCCTTTTTTTTATTTGTATTGCCTATTGCCCAACTTTGTACCCTGTATACTTAGGTATATCAGGTAATTAACAATACAAAGTTTTTCCCTGTTAAGTATACTAAATACTTAGACTGGACGTAACGCAAACAGTTTTTCCCTTTTTTTTAAACCTGTGATATGAAAAAGTTCCTTGTGCTACAGTGCCATGTAAGCTTAGTAATCCTACAAAAGTATAAAAATGATATACTTGTCTAAAAATAACTTCCATTCAAATAAAAGGATAATAATTTTAAACATTTATAATATAACCTTTTTATATACTAACTACTTTAATAACTTTATTAGTAATTTTTATAAGAGAGTTGTTATTAGGTTTATTCTCAATTTAATTAAAAACCAGAAAATAAATCTCTTAAAGTATGAGGTCTGTTCAAAAAATAACTGAACTTTTTGAATTGAGCAAAAATGGAGTGTTCTAGTGTCATGAAGTTGACAATACTGTTCATGATAACTTATTGAGTAAGCTGGTGTTTTTGGGTTTTTTATATCTTGTTTCATCCTGGAGTTATTGTTTTTCAAGTGAAAGATGTTTCAGCGTTTGTGGCAATTTTTGCAATGTGTGATGTACAGGAGCAATGATGTAATGTGAAGTTTCGTGTAAAATTGGTGAAAACTTTTACAGAAACATTTAAATTTTTGAATCAAACTTTATATCAAACTGCTCTAGGTCATGCAGTTTTACGAATAATTTACCTGATTAAAACATGGTTGTCAATTAGTTGAATATGACCCTTGACCAGGAAATCCTTGGCCTCAACTGATGACACTCACATTCAGAAAATCAGATTTGTGTTCTTTGAATTTTTGCCTCAATGTCACACAGTCAACTATCAGTGCTACGCAGGTGTTTTGAAACAATTGCACGATAAAAATTTGCAAAAAAAGATCAGAGTTGTGGCAAGACAATTCATGGTTCCTTCACCATGACAAGGCACCTGCTCACTCTGCCTTGTCAATTTGCCAGTTTTGTGCCAAAAATCAAATGACTGTCCTCTCCAGCCTCTGTACTCACCAGACCTGGCTCCTTGTGAATTTTTCTTGTTTCCAAAATTAAAATCAGTGCTGAAAGGATGCCATTTTGACACAATTGATGACATTAAAACAAANTGGGGCCGGAGACTAAAGAAAACAATAATTTAGAAAAAAATGTTTAATAAAATCTTAGACAATACATATGTATAACAAATTAGGCCTATATTATTTTACAATTTTTCACATTTACTTGATTATTACGCCATAATTTTAACATTGTTTCCATCTCAGCGATAATACTGTGACGTTTACGAATGATGCTTGAATTTAAAAATTGAGCATTTTTCACAACTTCGAGAATTTTTTCTTTGCCTTTTGTAATTGTTCTGACCGACAATTCCGGTAGATCAAACTTCTTTGTCAATTCACAAATTTTCATTTTTGTATCGAAGTCTTTAATAATGGGTATGTTCGTAAAGTCAAACGAGTTAAACGTGTTAGTAACAAATCGTTCGAAAAGTCTAACGAAATAGAAATAACGATGACTTCATTCTCGCTTAACTCATTCGACTTTACGAACATACCCAATGTTAACTTTACATTCCAAAGATAAAGTTTTTCTTTTCTTGTTTGATGCAGAAGAATTAGTTCTACTTCGTTTGGATGACATAGTAGAGTCTCTCGACGCTCCGTAGATATAACAAACACAGAAATAAACAACACAAAATAAATTGTAGCTATGTGTGGATTCCGCACAACACATCCGAACATGTAAGCTGAACAATAGTGTGGGGGGGAGTGAGTAATCAAGGGTTGTGTGGTGCTCAAACAAAAGACGAATCGACGAGATTTGAAAATCGCGTAACTCTGGGTTCACGTAAGTCGGGGTATTACTGTACTTCTTAAGTAGAAATAAGTCGAAACCTGTTACTTTGTACTCGAATATTTGTAGTCTTGGGAAAAAAGTGGAAAGACAAATTTTTATGACAAACAGATACGTAAATCGTAAATTTAAGGAAAGTAAATTCTAGAGCTTTTTCTGTACCTCGTGCATCTCTCTCATTCATTCAATTTAGTTGTAAATGATGCTGTCAAAGTAATGGTTAATTTTTTAACATTATACAAGAATTGTACATGTTTTTTTTCTGCATCCCCTTAAAGATGGGATATACAAAATCATAATATCACTGGTTTAAAATTGAAATCCGTGAGTAATATAAAATCGGAGAGCGGAATAAAAATATCAAATATTTTAATGGATTTTTTTAACTCCTGTCAATTATACAGAACTATCATAAAAACATACCAGTAAATTCTTATTGGTTGGTTTAAAGTTATAAATCTACTCGTGATTCATGTAATCGTTAATGTTACCAAATTAGTCGTCTCCTCATTGGGATTTTATCAGGTTATGGGCCCAGAAGAGCACTAATAGCTTCACCAAATTAGTCGATCCCCTACAGCAGCACTCAGTGGAAATATTCCTTCAAGAATATGGTATGGAAAGGTTGATTTATCAAAACTAAAAGTATTCGGTTGTCAAGCCTGGTTATATAAGCTACTACAATCTACAAAGTTAGAATCACGTGCCAAGGAAGTCAGAATGGTAGGATACAATGGGTCTACAGACTCTGGGATCCAAAAGAAAATGAGATCCTAATAAGTAGAGATGTAAAATTCAATGAAACTCTTATGCCAATATACTACAAAACTCAAAGTGATGATGACTTCTGTGCAAGGGACAAAGAAGAGGACAACAAAACTAATAGTGATCATGAAAAGATAAATCAAAGTGAACAAGAAACACAAGAAAAAGAAATAAGGAAAAGAACCATAAAATTACCACAGAAATATAATGATTACGAAATGCATATTGCATACTGCTTATATTCTGAAGATCCAGAAACCTATGAAGAGGCAGTTGAGTCAGGAAAATAATGGAAAGATGACACAGAAAAGGAATTAGAAGCTCATCTAGAATTTAGCACCTGGACTGAAACAACACTTCCAAAAGATAAAGATCCAATAGAAACCAAGTGGGTGTTTCGAACAAAATCAGATGGAACAAAGAAAGCATGTCTCGTTGCAAAAGGATATCAGGGAGAAGAATTTAACAACTCATATGCACCAGTAGTAAGAATATCAACAGTTAGATTATTCCTATCAAAGGCAATTAATGAAAACTGGAAGATAATCCAACTTGATGTGCCAACTGCATTCTTAAACAGTGAACCAAAAGCTGATGTATACATTAAAACTACACAAGGTCTAATAACAAACAGTAAAGTTTTAAAATTAAAAAGAGCATTATATGGGTTGAGAGAAGCACTTTGATGTAGGAATGAGTGCTTTAATAACTTTGCTGTCAAAAATGGAATAACTTGTTCAAACTATGATTTTTGCTTATATAATGGAGATAGTATACATTTGATTCTTTTTGTAGATGATATTTTGTTATTTGGAGAAGCTGATAAGCTAAGAAACTTAAGAACAGAATTTAGTGTAAAATTAATGGGAGAGCCAAAGAACTTTCTAGGAATAGACATCACTTTGCACAAAAATACATTATCATTATCACAAGAAAGTATCATCGAAAACTCTTAATAAAATTCAAAATGAAGGGATGCAAAGGTGTTTTAACTCCAATGGAACATGGATTTCAAGCTGATCTTTCAGAAGAAACTTTGAGCGTTCCATTCAGAGAATTAATGGGAAGCTTATTGTACTTGTACATAGCACATACTACTCGTCCAGACATTGTGTTTGCTGTTCCCACTTGAATAGATATCTTGATAAACCCAGTGGAGCACTTTGGATGGCAGGAAAGAGATACCTCAAAGAGACAAAAGACCTAACCTTAAACTATTCAGTTTGCACAGATGAAAAGCTGATTGCATTCTCAGATGCAGACTAGGCAGGAGACAAAAATGACAGGAGAAACATAAGTGGTTATGCAATTTTTCACAATAATAATCTTATATCTTGGTCATCCAAAAAACAACAATCTGTCACACTATCTGTAGCAGAGTCAGAATATTTAGCATCTGAAGCAACCACCACTGAACTTATCAATCTTCAAGGAATAATATTGAAATTAAACTCTGGAAGAAAAATTGTAACAGTCATGAACATGGATTATCAAAGTGCCATCAGCATGATTGAAAACTATGAAAATAGCAAAAGGTCAAAACATGTCGATATAAGGGCACACTTCATTAAAGACCTAGTAACGAAAAATCTTTTCAGTTTAGGCTATGTTCCCACGAGTGATAACATAGCAGATACTTTTACTAAACCGTTGTGTTCAAACAGATTCATTTGTCTTAGGAAACATCTGGGTATATTCAAGACATCAGATTGTGTAATGCATAACTAATTCAATTTCATAATGTAAACCTTTTGAAATTGAGGGGTGGTGTTAAGTATTGTAAAGCTTGAGCCACCAGAGGGCACACAAGTTCTATATATATGATTGGCGGGCTTTCCAAAACTGTCTTTCTTCTCTCTTTCACACTGTATGTGTGTGTGTTACCAATAAAGTAATTGTTAATGTTACCAAATTAGTCATCTCCTCATTTGGATTTTATCAAATGTATTTTTTTAAGTAAAATAATAATATAAAGTTTCTTACCTATCGCGTAAGTTCAGGGTATTACTGTGTTAGCTTTTTCATATAAGTCTTTCAACAGCAATGTTATAGCGATACACCAACCAAAGCCAAATTATTGAGCTAGAAATGGCTATAATAATAAATAATTTTATAAGATGATGATGTTTGTTTATAGTAATGTTAGTTGATATTCTTATAATTTTATTAATGGATCCATAAAATGATTGAAAACTTCTCTACAATAGTAATTATAAAATTTATAAAGAAATTTTGTTGTTGTTGTTCTAACCTTAACTAGGCTAAATAATGGATTTTCTTTCTAAATCATAAGTCATTGCAAAAAATTATTCAAAAAATATTTTATTAAAAGCATTTATTTTCATACAAGCATAAATTGAAAGAATGTGTTTTTGTATTGTGTTTGAAATGAACTAGTTTTGATTGTGGACAGTATTTCTTTCTCAAAATTACAATTGTAAATTGATAGTAGAGATTTAAAAAAATTGCCAGGATGAATTTAGATTTACAAAAAATATATTTCTTGGTAGACTATACATACTGGATGAGTCTATTTCTTCATTTGGTCCTTTCACATGCTGTTGAGGAAATAATGATTCCATGGTGGAGTCGACCTTTTACCGTAGGCTACTCGTCCGTCATCCAATGCAAAAAAGTTAAAAACAGTGGGTGATCGGTTAACTAACATAATCCGTTCCAAGACTTTGTTCGTTAACCAATTATCAATTTACCATAGGTTTTTATGGGAATTTGATTAATTTGTTCCGGAGACTCCAAAAAAATAAAAAAATATATACTTTCTTACTATATTTATTTATATGTAATAGTAAAAATACATACATACACAGTTTGCATTTTTATTAGTCATGTTTGTTTCGTTTGTGGGGGTTAAAGAATCTGCCCAACGTCAATTGCTTTTCTCTTTTCTTCAAGATTTTTTGGAAGTAATTAATAGTATTGCATTTGTAGATATCCCCAACCCCTTAACTCTTACTTGGTTTCTACGATGAGTACAGTTCTTGACACTCCTCTTTTTAAGCTCCATAATACTATCAGTTTCTTTTTAAATAAAAATTTCAGAAAAGCACTTACAAAAATTCAGAGAACAGAAATCAACTAGTGCACAAAAAAATTATTTAAATGCAAGGCCCGGATGAAATTCGAAATTTAATATTAAAACTTAACGAATATCCGATGGGACAGTTAAACCATCACGTTTCGTAAATAAACCTCGACGCAAAACTTAACGAGTACTCCTTGGACAGTCTTGTGAAGACTATAAAAAATTATTTGTCAGAAAGGTAAACTAAAAGCTCGAATTACAAGGAAAAGTTTCAAAATTCGAAGGAATGCTATCCGATCAGTATCGGGTTGAGCATCGATGTTGACGTCTCCCGCGCTCCGAAAGGTTTTGAATTGTTACCTGAAGACAAGGAAAAATCAACTGGTATTCGTTATTTTCTGTCGCTTTTTTTATGTTTGTCCAGTAAAGTGTTTGCTATTTGAATATGTGTTCATTGTCCAATCATAAAAATCTTTCACGAAAGTGTTCATTATCCGATCACCCACCGTAGTTATATTTTTTGTAAATCTAAATTTGTCCTGGCAATTTTTTAAAACATATTTATTGATTTTATCATTGTGTCACCACTAGAGGACTATTTTAACTTTTTTGCATTGGATGGCATTAGAGTAGCCTACAATAAAAACTCTGTCATGGAAATTCAACTCTGCCATGGAATTATTACCTCAACAGCATGAGAAAGGACCGAATGAAATAGACTCATCCAGTATGTATAGTCTATCAAGAAATATATCTCTTGTAAATGATAGTAGGGATTTTTATTCTTATTGTAAAAAAATAAGATTGAGTTAAATCTGAATACTGGACTGCTTTCTTTATTATTCAAATAAAAATAAAACCCTAATGGTAAAAAGTAGAAAAAAATCATAATAAATATCTGAAGAAAAAGTACAATTTTGATCATCCAAGTTATTTAATTCTAAAAATTCTTTTTTATATTCTCATTTAAACATTATTAAATATTTTATACGTATTCATATAATGGAGTTTGTTTCAGTCTAAATAAAAAACCTTGTTTAGCATATAGTTATTTTATTAACAAAGTCAAAAATCCAGTTTGTAATGTAAAAGCTTGCTTTTCTACTTCAAAAACAAATAGTAACAAGTTCTTTAAAAATATCAATTATGAACTTTTAAGTGATTTGTCACTTTTTCAATGTATATTATTACTCAAAACGTTTGAAATTATTCTATTTTAATGGTATTACCTATTTTTATATATAGTAGTCATTCTTAAAAAGTATGCATATAGTTATTATTTATATAGTTATTATAGTTATAATTATTTATTTAGAAATCTTATAGAAAATATAAACTGTCATCCATAATTAGTTAATATAAAATGATTATAAATGGAAGATTTACCTTGTACAAATCTTAACTTCAAGCATAACTTTACTATTGCTTCTCTCTACATCATCAGGTGCAGCAATTTCACCAACTCTACCTCTGTCTTCATAATCTGCATCATCATAATCACCATCTTTTTGGAAGTAACAAATCATTAGATTCAAAATTTCATTTGCAATATAATTCTAAATAAGGACCAAAAGAATAAAAGGGAAGCATATTACTTGGAGATAAAATTAAGTTATTAAAGAAATCAATTTTTATGGAAACACCATCTACATGGTGTTTCCATAAAAATTAGTGCACCAAGAAAGATCTGTTGTATTGCTGCAAAACTTGGCATGCAGATAACTCTCAAGCAGATATGGAAATGATTCAAGTTATAGCATGATGGCTCATTGCATAATGCCAGCAGAGGGCATTAAAGTGCATCTCCCTTGGCCTATAAAATAATGTGCAAAGTGCATCATGTCTGTAGTTTACTTGTTGCAGAGGGATGCTTTATCACTAGAGATGCCTTAATGTTGCAATTGAAGACCATATGAAAAACTAATGAAGTTTGAGAGGGGAAGAATCATCGAGTTGAGAGAAGCCAGATGGTCATCTGGCTGAATAGCCTGCCATCTAGGCCATTCTGATAACATCGTGAAGAGATATTGGGACCAGTGCACAAGAGAGAGAGCTCACACACATGGTGCCCAGGTTCAAGATGACCTCGGCAAACCACTAGCCTGAGAGAACTACCTGGTCCTCTGACAAGCATGCACACAGCCAACTGTATTGTTGTCCACTATCTGGACACAGGTGGCACCATCATTATAAACCCCTGTATTTGTCTGTACCATTTTGAGGCATCTAGGTGAGGAACATTTGGTATTGCATTGGCCATTACGTTTGCTGCCATTGACACCACTCACCATCGTCCCCATTTGGAGTGATATCTCTCCTGATTGGACCACAGTGGAATGGAACCAGATCATTGAAAACAACAAATTCAGATTCAATTTGAGTGATGATGGCTGTGTTTGTATCTGGAGACCATATGGTGAACACCTCAATCCTGCCTACACTTTGGAGTAACACACCATCCATCCCCAAAGATGGTGTGATGGTCTGGGGTGCATCACATACAACAGTGGGTCACCTTTAGTAGTGATCCAGGGACCATGACAGCCCAGCAGTACATTAGTGACATCATGTATCCACATGTTTTGCTTCTCATGGCAGGGGTCTCAAGAGCATTTTTCAATAGGACAATGATTGATGACACATGCAAGGGTGTCACAGGACTGCTTCCACCACATTGCCACACATCCCTGGCATGCCCTGTCTTAATTTGTCACCGATTGAACATGTCTGGGATCACCTGGGATACCAAGTTGGACAGTCTAGGAGTTTAGTCAAACTAGAGAGCCACTTGCAGCAACTGTGGACTTAGATGCCACAGGACATCATACAGCATCTGTATGCCTCCATGCCTGCCTTTATCACATTGTGTATTTACACTAGAGGTGGCCCTAGAGTACTAGAACCTCCTTTCATTTGTCGTTTTTCCTGCAAAATGATCCTTTTGCTTTCATTTTGTAATCAGTTACTTATATCACCATTACACTCACACATGTCCGAATTCATTTGATTCTGACAACTCTTTGGTGTGCTAATTTGTATGGCAATGAATGTATTTTAAACAAGTCCACATAGGTATAGGATATCATTTTGAACATTTATTTCAAGGAATGTAAACATTAACATCTGATTAAGTTTTTACAATCTAAGTGAAATACAGTAATACCTCAATTTTCGTTGATTTTTTTTTTTTGAATTTGTCTCAGTTTAATATTTTATAAAATATTAAATTAAGATATAGGACACAAAGGCATAATAATTAATTTGTCTCAGTTTTCACTGGTTGCCTTGGATTTCATTGGCATGCCCACGTGACCTTGCTGCTAATTTTGCAAAAAAAGGGCGACCCATGCATTTTACTGCTCAGTGTGGCATTGTTTCTCATTGTGTGAGCAATACCCTGTGCATCTAGCAAAACAATTCCATTGCTTTCCTTTCTTTTTATCTCTCTGAGACCAAAGAAAGTTTCCAGAGCCAGCAGCCCTTCGAATGCCAAGTTAAATGTTCATTTATTCTTTACATTAGTCTTTTATATTCATTTTATATTAATTTCTTACCTTTTTTAGTATTAAACACTATATTTATTCTCTATAAAATGTGTTTTTGGTATGTATTTTGGAGTGTCTAGAACAGTGTTTCACAATCTCTAACAAACTGTCGCCCCTTCAATAAAACAGTTATGTAGTATTTCCCCCTTCACTTCAAAAACAATTTTGTTGGGTTTATTAGTTTAAATTTTTACAAAATATATAATTATCAAATAAACATTTATTTACTGAGAATACATATTAGATTTTGATATAATTAACAAAATTAAAATTAAGCAGTAGTCACTGTGAATCCCCGCTGCAAGCTTCAAAATTCTGATGCCAAGGGCTAATGCCAAATTCATATTGCATTGAATAGACTAGTTAGTAGTAAAATGTTATTTGTTTAATTATTGTATGATGTAATGAATAAAATATCTAATTATTCTTAATATAATGTTTTACTATATCACCCAGAAAATTGTATTTTGCCCCCTAAATATAAATTGTTACTAATCGCCCCCAATATGGAAAAACGCCCACATGGGGCGATATCACCCCATTGAGAAACACTGGTCTAGAATGAATTTATTGGATTTACATTGATTCATATGGAAATAATTGCTTTGGTTTTCGTCTGTTTTGGATTTTGACAATTGCTGTTGGACAGATTACCAACAAAAACCAAAGTATCACTGTTTAAGCAAAAATAAAATTATATTTGAGATTCTTTTGAACAAATGCAGTTCAATAAAAAAATTAACAAAAATGTAATACTTTTTCTTGAATACTAATTGCTCATTTAAAGCAAGTTTTCTTTTAGAACTTATTTTCTCTTGAATGTGAATGTGCAATTTAACTTTAAAAACAATACATACTTTGGAATCAAAAACATTCCCATAAGAATGCTTGTATTTTATTTCTAAACAGTTATCAAGAACCGAATAAAGGAATATCACTGGGTATAAGTAAAAAGTTAATAGATTAACACAATTAAAAATATAAACAAAACTAAGTTGTTTTCACACTTTCATCATGTCCAATTACCAGGAACAAAACAGTCTTTGCAGGAGGATTGTTTTGTTCCTTGTGATTGGACATGATAGAAGTGTGAAGACAACTTAGTTCCTTCTATATTTTTAATTGTGTAAAAATACCATAAACCATTTTAATTGAAATTATTAGATTAAGTCTGAAGACATTTATAGAGAATTTACTATGAGGAGAGGAGCATACCTGAACTTTTTTGCTTGGATAATTTACTTACAACTGAAAAATTTTCCATTGTGTTTATGAATCTGCTGCAATAAATTAAGTTTGAATTGGCTAACTTCAGCTAATTTTCTAATCTCTAGAATTTTCCAAACAGATAAAATAATTAACTTTAATAATTTTTAACATATAGTTCATGATGTTTTTAATGTCTTTCATGAACATCTCCAAATCCACTACAACAAGACATTGTCTTTATTGCCACTTCAGTTTAGATGATACTGTAATGATGGAGTGAAAATATATTGTTCCAAATTACTGCTTGAAAAAGCACACAGAAAAACCTGAGCAATGGCCAATCCAACTTTTCCTAGAAATTTAAATTTAAACAGGTCTTTTTCCTTGCAGAAAATTGTTTGTGTTTTTATTTTTAAATACATTCAAAGACACTTTCTAATAGAAGCTATTAACAATTTTGTATAATTTCAAACTTTCTCAATAAATAAATTTATTAAAATTAACCAAAAATTCTTTGTAAGTATTTTATTAATATTAAAATTATCATTGTTGGCTGTTTACATAGAAGAATGGAATAAAGCCTGTTTCACAATTGTCAAGAAAGCTAAAATCTGTATAAGATTTCACTTTCCATTTCTGTTTCACAATTAACTAGCAGATTCCTTAAAAGTGTTCCAATTGATTCAAATACAATTGATTGGTTAAAACTGCTATTAAACCACATTTGTTATTGGAAGCTATCTTACAAAAATGCTTCATGATTTTACCATCTCTAAAGATTGGAATGAGTGCAGATCTGTTAGATTTCAAGAACAGCTTTTATACACTGGTGGAAATTGAAAGTGTTACACCCAGATGGAATTGGTGGAAATTCATGAAACTTGGTAAACATGTACAGGGGCATATTCAGAAGAAATGATCACAAAATTAAATGAATTAAGCAAGGTTTTATTGCTGTTTGGTACATGTTTCAGTAAGTGGTATGCTCACTTTGATCATGGATACATTCTTGGTTCCTTGCAGGCATTGAATCAATAAGTGCTTGAATGTCTTGTTGGGGTATGTCTCTCCATGTCTGCACAACTTATGCAGTCAGTTGTACAGTGCACGCTAGATGGATGGATCATCCTGTCCACATACTGGTGGACGGTCATTGTGCTTTCAATAACCACCAACTAAGTCCTGCTCTTGTAACTGATTGCCTCCCAAACCACGACACCAGGAGTTTGACCTGAGTAAAACTCTGAAATTACAAGCAGGATGGGCTCTTTCTCCAACACACCGGCAGACATTTTGCTGACTATCACATCGGCCTAAACAGAATCGGGATTCATCACTAAACACAACTGTACACCATTCATGTGTCCAATTACGTCTAGCAGCACATCACATTAGCTGTTGTTGGCAATGAAATCTGGTTAAGGGAACACATTGCATGGGGGTCCAAGATCTCAGCCCAACATCAAGCAATCGGTTTACAATTGTCTGTGGGATGACTCTGGCAGTAATTACTGCTTGGATCTGTGCTGCCAATGCCCATCTGTCAGCAACTGCCATCCGCACAATATGGCGGTCTTCATGTGGTGTCGTCCTTCTGCGTGGACCTGTGCCAGGTCTGCGAGTACTGGACCCTTCCTGCATCCACCTTGTGACCACTCTTTTTATTGACATTGCAGTACGGTCAGTCCTTTGGGCGATTTCACGATATAATGCTCCCATTTCTGAAATGCCAATTATCCGACCTCTTTCAAAGTCGGACATTTGAGTGTACGGAGTTCTCACTCGTCAATATGGCATAGCTGGTCACCAACAACATGTGGACCAAAAAAGTCACGTTCCATAACACAGTTCACAAATTATAAACTAAACACTATATGGAGACATTTGTTATGCAAAATTGCTAATTTTCATACCACTGTATGTACTTCATTTAATTTTTGATCATTCAATACCCTTCAAAAAAAAAAAAGATTCTTTTGCCCCAATTTCATATGTCTTCAACTATACTGAGTGGGTGTAACACTTTCAATTTCTGCCAGTGTATATAAAATCTGCATGCAAACTGATTTCAGAAACTGATCTGTATGGTTTTACACAATTGTGAAATGACTGTCAAAGCAGAAAACTTGTGACTGTGATTGAGCCACATCTGTCTGTTATTTGCATTGCAAAGGATGATTGTGAAACACTCTTAAGAAAATTTACTTTTAAATTTGAAATATTATTTAGTCAATAAAAGTGGTCAATATTTAATTTATAGTGAATTATTAAGATTTTGATGAATTGTTATCTAAATTTAACATTACCATTGGCATTTCTTCTTCGTCTAACAACTTTTCCTTTAATTTCTAGTTCAATTTCAAATTGTTTAAATGCTGAAAATAATAATAAAAACAACTTTAGAGTTCAATTTAGTTAAAAAAGTAATATGTAATAAACAAAGTATTATAAACATTATATTGTGAGGTATATTTATTTTAATTTTCAACTTTTTTACATCTGTGTCATTTTATATTTAATTATTATAATTTCTGTGTATACTCATCTTACAAAAACTGCTGGAATACACAGCCACATCCTCACCTACTTGAAATCACTACCCAGGAAATTACAGTAATTAAAAAGCCAGAAACATTTCTTTAAGGCAGCATAAAATTTTATTTTTAATCTAATAGTACCATTATAAATCAGACAAAGACATTAAGTTTCATAAAAAGTTTGAAGATAATTAAGTATTACAGTCAGATCTGTCTAAAGTCAGTGTTGAGATTCAAATCTTGTCGTCACCAGATGGAGCTGTGCAACCCTTCTGTTCTTATAGGTATAACTATAGCCCCTTTTGTCTTAGATTCTCTGTTTTCTCTTTTGTTACATTGAGAAAAAAACCAGTGAATGTCAGATAGATCAAGCTATGTAGACTTGTATGTCCTATGCTTTTGTATATACCTATCTTGAGTAATCCAATTTGATTTCCAAATAAACCCGTGTTTTCTGAATACAGAGCCTATTTATTGAGTTATTAAACAACAGTCAGTCAGAATGGCAAGTCTCTGTTTAGACCCTACACAACTTAACTGGCTTATGAATGATTACACAGGCCTGCATTTTTTTGGTTGTATCATTTTTTAAAGTTTTGGTGATGGACTCCTATCTATTTTTGTGCACTGAATCCAAAAATGACCTTAGTTTTTCTCTATTATGTCAAAACTTTTTCTAATCACAATCTGTCAAAAGTGTCATATATGGAAAAAAATCAAAAATATAAGACTTACTGCCAGATTTAATTAATTAAACACATCAGAAATGCTGGCATCTGTCAGTTTATGATGAAAACAAGTTGTTCACATCATAAACCGGCAGATAGCAGCACTTTTGTCCTTAAACATTTTGAATATCTCAAGTGTCAGTGTTGGCGCAACCATTGGTGTGCATTGCCGCGATCAAATGTGTTGGTATCGGTGGATAGCTGTAGATGCTTGAAAGCTAACATACAGTGTTCGACATGGCGCCAAGAGGCTGTAAAAAGTCTGCAGATTCCTTTGTTACATTTGTGGTGAGTTAATGGTGTCAAGGCAAAAAAGGAATACAGTATAACATTCTTCGTGCAGCAAGTGTACCTTACGTATTTCAGTGTAAAAATAGGAGATCAAGACAAAACTTGGGCACCTCACTATGTTTGCTATACATGTGTTGAAGGACTGAGACGGTGGTCAAAGGGTGAACAACATTCTTTCAGATTCAGCATTCCAATTATCTGGCAAGAGCCACAAAATCATACTGATGATTGTTACTTTTGTTCAACCGGTGCTCACGGTTTCAATGTAAAGAATAAAAAGAACATTGTCTATCCAAATCTACCATCAGCTTTATGTCCTGTCCCTCATGGTCCAGATGTACCAGTGCCTATGCAACCAGAACATTTACCTGAAGTACATGGTTCAGAAACTGAATCAAGTGAAGAAACCAAAGATAACGAAGAGGAGTACAAACCTGGCAAATCTGCACCACAACCATTTACATAAAGTGAACTGAACGATTTTATTTGTGACTTACATCTGACCAAAGAGATTTCAGAGTTGCTTGGTTCAAAGCTTAAAGATAAGAATTTGCTCGCAGCTGGTGCTTCATTTTCCTGGTACAGGTACAGAGAAAAAGATTTTATTCTATACTTTTTGGAGGAAGGAGACTTAGTATTCTGCAATGATGTGTGTGGACTGTTTAAGACATTCAACACTCCGTACGAAAGCACTGATTGGAGACTATTCATAGATTCGTCAAAACAAAGCCTTCAAGTTGTCCTGCTTCACAATGGAAACAGGTATGTATCAATACCCGTAGGGCATTCTGTACACTTAAAAGAACAGTGCGACAATTTACAATTTGTTATCCAGAAAATTAAGTACGATGATCATAAGTGTGTGGTGATCTCAAAGTAATATCGATGACCCTTGGACAGCAAGGCAGGTACACAAATTTTCCATGTTTTTTATGTGAGTGGGATAGCAGAGACAAGGAAAATCATTGGAAAAAGAAAGGCCACAACGACTTTCATTGGAACCTGGGGTAAGAAATGTGCTCCAAAAACCTCTCATCGAGTCGACAAAAGTTCTCCTTCCACCCCTACACATCAAATTAGGCTTGATGAAGCAATTTGTGAAAGCCTTACCAAAAGATGGTAAATGTTTCCAGTACATTTTGTAGCAAATTTCCAGCCTTGTCAACTACAAAACTAAAAGAGGGTATCTTTACAGGTCTGGATATTAGAAAACTTTGCAAAGATGGAAATTTTGAAAAAGAAGCCTGTGTCACCTTTAAAGACGTAGTAATGAAGTTTCTAGGCAACAAGAAGGATCCTAATTTCAAGTTTATTGTTGAGACAATGCTGCAGAAGTACCAAAATTTAGGCTGTTCCGTGTATTTGAAGGTTCATTTCTTACATGCACATTTAGACTACTTTCCTGAAGAGATGGGTGAGAGATTTCATCAGGACATTAAAGAAACGGAAAAGCGTTACCAAGGCAGATGGAATACTACAATGATGGCAGACTATTGCTGGATGTTGCATTGAGATGATCCCAGAATAGCACATGCGCAGAAAAGCCTGATATAGAGTATAGTTGGTCCAAAGAGACGTCGACATGATGACTAAAATGTTTTATTTTCTATTTTTTATATTCTATTTCTATATTATATTACATTGTCTATTGTAAGCCACAAAATAATACGTTTTATACGAAACAAACCTATTTCAATTTGTCATTAAGTCTCATATTTGTGATATTTTTTGTCATATACCACATTTGGCACATTGCGAATTGCAAAAAATTCTTACATGATGGAACTGAACTAAGGTCATTTTTGGGTTCAGCGCACCAAGATACATAGGAATCAATCATCAAAAGTTAAAAAACAGAACCTTTGCAGGCTAGTGTTATTGTTGAATATATTAAATAAAGTAAAAACATAACTAAAAAAAACAAATATATTTACCATTAACATTCAGATCTTTTTTATTTATACCAATTTCATTGGCTGCTTCATCAAAGTCTTTAAAAACATCTAATTCAATGTCTTGATTAATTTGTGGTGGTTTATGTTTTTCTTTTGCTTCAGATACATTCACGATAATTTCAAACTAAAAGATTTAATTATAGCAATGATTTTTAAATCATGTTTTTAAAGTACATTATGGATATATATAAATTACTTAAATTTTTTCTTTAATTTTAATAAATAAATATAAATAGAATTAAAATTAAATTAACAATATGTAGTATTTATAATTATTAGCATTAATAAATGATATAAAGAACTTTGATTTTCCCAGTTCTGAGCACAAATCTAGAAGTTAGTAGCAAAGACAGGACATTTTTTTGCTGAATTAATCAATGCACCATTAACAGTGAAGTTTAAATAATGCTAATGCTTTCAACCTGGTTAATGGACCATGCTCAGTGTTGACAATTAAAAGTGAAATGCCAACATTGGTAAGAAAGAAAGATGTGACAGAGAAGTAACTACAGTGGTGGCATTTAATGTGAAAGATTAAGGAGATATTGACAGGAAGGAGTAAGGAGTCTTTGTGCCTTATGTAACCCACTGTTAAAGGTACATTAATTAACTCAGCAGAGTAACCACAATGGCAAGTTCATCCTTATGAATATTTTTATACTTATGAGATAAATACAAAAGATTAATGTAAATTGTCATTTTAAACTAGTTTTCTTATCATCCAATCAGCATGAATTGCTGATTGTCTTTTGTCTTGAACCCATCTGCATGTAATCTAATCAACTGACTTTATTCATATACTTGAATAACAATCCCATTATCTTATGCTATCTCCAGATTGTGAACCAGACAATAATACTATATGAGACTACAGACCATCAGTATTATGAATATATATAAAAGTCAAAAAAGAATTGTAATTTTTTACTATTAATAAAACACACCTTTAATAATCCATCTAATAAAAATTAATAATATAATAACGTTTTCGANATTAATTAGATGTAAAATATATTGACAATGGAGTTCCTAGTAAGACTAATATTAATATATTCTAACAGAAAGTCTTGACACAAATAGAAATAGATCAGTTGCATTATTTTTTTTTATTTATGTAAAAAATTACTTTTATATAACGAACGAACTGGATAAATATACTATTAATAAAACACACCTTTAATAATCCATCTAATAAAAATTAATAATATAATAACGTTTTCGATTGTTTCTTAATGATATTCTTCAGTTACCATAACATAGAATAAAATCGAACACAAAAAAGAACATAAATACAAAATTAAAATATAATTAACGGAAAAGTAGATAAAATAAACGAAAAATAAAAATTAATCTGAAAAAATGTCCCTTAACAAATAAAAATAAATAAAGTCATTAATTCTTGTAAAAGGATCGCCATGCGATAGGTAAAGAGTCTACATCTCTATGATGGTTGATGCAACCAGTTTTCTTGTGTGCCTTAAAGATCTCTAATTTCTCCAGATATTTCATTGTATGTAAATTTGTCGTAGGTTTAATAATTTTCGCCTGATCTCAATGGACTTGAATGTCGTGTTGCGTTGTGTAAGACGATAGCACTGTGTTGTCAAGTTTCTTATTAATCGTATATTTATGCTCTTTGATACGTTGTTGCAATTTGCACATTGTTGCGCCTACGTAGACGAGATCCGAATTAAAATGCCGATCGTGTAACGGTATAGAATAGATTCCTGATGCCGATTTCCAGTCATAACGCTTCTTATCGTTTCTTAATAGCTTGAAAACTGTAGGATTGCGTCAATATACTACACTGAAATCATTAGCCTTGGCCGTTTCTTTATGTATTTGTCTCAAAAACGGGACATAATTTAAAACCATCTTTTGTCTACGATCTACTGTGGGATGCCGTTGTTTAGTTGTTTGGAAGGTTGTAATAAGATTCTTTATGATTTCCTTTTGGTATTCCTGTTGTTCCGCAATTTTTAGAATGTAGTTTAGCTCCGCCATCGTGTCTTTTATACTAGAACAATGTGTATAAGCCCTTTTTATCCAGGACCTAAAGGCCGCCAATTTGATGTGATGCGGATCGATTGAATTATGCGGAATTAAAGTGGGTTGAAAGCATGGTTTTCTGTATATGCCGGTCCTGATTTCTCCCTGTCTGCAAGCGATGGAAATGTCCAAAAAATTTACAATACTATCACTCTCCTGGTCCACTTGTAGTAATAAACCGTAAGGGTTATTATTGATCCTATCCAAAAATTGCTGTAGGTTAGGTTTTCGTTGCCACAAGATGAATATATCGTCGACGTATCTGGCGTACAAAATGATAAGGTGTTGGAATTCGGGTAGAATTTTGTTTT